ACTCTTTAAAACTTTGCTGAGCAGAGCTTTTGCCGTGTATTTTAGTATGAGTTGTGCCACATTTGCGCTCTCCTTTCTCCTTTGAAAGGAAACAGCACGTTTCATTTTGTGTTGGCCTAGGACCAAAAATATGAAAGCTCCGGCATTGTTATATATTTACTGTAGTTTTACTATGAGTGTTACTATTACGATGACCATGTTGTGTGCATTGCACGAGGTCACAACAACAGAAAGGACTTTGCCTTTATATTGTATATGTATGTACGTAGTGTGTTTGTGTGGAACGAAGTAGCCAAAATGATTACAAAAAAACTAAGAACTGAACAGGGCAGAAATGAAAATAAATACAATTAAATAAAAACATAATGAATACGTTGCATGCGACGTCGCCTTTAAAGCGACAAAGCGTGATTGAGTTCGCTCACGGCTATAGAAACTGTGAGCAGGACACCAGCGTATAAATTTAAATAACGAAATGAATATTTCCATATATATTTACACATACATGAGCATAAATGCGCATATATATTTATGTTAGCGAACATTTTCTCAAGTATGTTATATTAATTGCATATGTAAATGACCCGTAGTATATGAAAAGTGACAAATTTAAAGAAAAGCGAATACCAAAACAACAATTTTAAAATATTGTTTAAAAATAATATATAAAATCGTTAAAATATAAGATAATATTATATACGAGATATAAAACTTTAAATTCAATGTGAAAAGTATGAAAATTTGGGGTTCTTTTACTAAAGAAGTAACCAAAAAGATAGATGAACGTATAGACAATTTTCAAACATATTTATTTAATAGATTACAGACTTAATGAATTTAAATTGTTTGTAAAGTCATGCCCCTATGTCAAAGATCTTGAGCAATCTGTAAAGCTTAATGGGATCAATAAATAGAGTTAAACTCATTTTAAATTAAATTGAAATTTTAACTGAAAATGGTTATAAAAAAAATCTTGGTCCACTTCTTAACATTGGTTCAAGGTACATTAGGTATATTATGAACTATGGACCGAAACATCCGAAACATTCACCCATAGTATCTATTCATGTTCTATGTATGCTAAATTTTCTCTTAATTGTAATTTCGAGATGTAAGAAATTTAACAATAAATTGTCCATTTTTTTAGTTTTGACTTATACATAAATAGAATTTATTTTAACACAAAATAAAATTTTTTTGTTTGTATTTAGTTTTATTATAATTAGCACTAGAAAGTTAAGTAAAATTAAAAAGTTATTAACATAATTATTTACAAAACAAAAAAAAAACAAACCTAAACAAACGCTTATAACAATTTTATATTTAAATTGAATAAATATCTCAGAAGAAAATAACATACATACAGACAAAAATAACATACAAGTAAAGCGACTTTTACTTATTTTTGGTAAGATAATTAGTGGTAAAAACAGATTCCTTTGGGAGTCAATAGGTAACATTAAAAACCAATTAGACTTACGTATCCCAAAAAACTGAATTTGATTAATGATGTAATACTATATATATAATACACTATTATAATATATGTATATATATATATATGTATATATTATTTATTGGAATCCTTCTTATAAAACAAAGGCATTAAAATTAGTCTCAAGAAACTGGTAATACAATTATTACAAGTTTTTCCATATATGTATATATATTATAAAGATGCAATTATTTCCAAAAAACCTTCTCATAAAACAAAGGCTTTTAAATAAACCTCGAAAAAATGTTAATACTACTATTATAAGTGTTTCCAGTATTTCTATAATCTTTTTATAGAAAAAATTTTAAAAATCTTTAAAATGACTATGCATATGGGATTATTTTTTTATTCAAGTCAATTAGTTTTTAAGGTGCATTTAGATTTAGATGTGTAAACAGACTTACTAAACTAACCTCTGATACGGATTATATCCTGAGCCCCCACCTAGTAGAAAATAAATTGAAAGGTATATAAAGTGAAATGTATATAATTTGCTATCGTAATTAAAACTTTTTAACTTGGTGGAATATTTCAGTAGACAATCACTTTATTTTTTTTATGTATCACTTGTTAGACAAAAAAAAAATCAATATTTATATTATAATACAATAATTTCTTTGGACAAATATAAGAATTGTATTATATTTTTACAAATTTAGTGGATCTTGTGGATTTCTGGTTGGTGCATTAAGATAAAGCCAACAACTTGAACGATGGGTATTAGTTTTCTTGTGAACCGCGACCATCACTAATCTAAGCGATCCATCGTTGTTTGCTTCCATTCTTGTATTATTCCGTATGCAGCCATTACGGCATCCATATTTACATCAAATGGATCGGAAACAGAATCTTGTAAGTATTTAAAAACTTCATTTGCCTTCCTGCAATCCGCACACATAAATGTTAAGGTGCCAGAGGAAGATCCACATTTTTTGGACTTATCAACTTGCACACAAATCTCATCCTTTTGTTGTTTATTCTTTTTAGAACTTCTATTTTTCATCCCTCGTCGCGGCCAACAAATCTGCTTGATAGACGTTTTAGAAGACTGTTGGGGACAGTTTTGAGCCTGTAACCTTGTGGTCACCATGATAAAACTATGTGAAATTTTATGTTAAATAAAATTGAAATCACATTGATAATAAATTGAATAAACTTACGTGAGTATTAAAAAAATAATAATTTCGTTTAAATTGAGTTGCTCAAATAAAGCCAACTAATGTTCTCGCCTTTGTGAATTTAAAAAAGTTGCTATTAGTACGTAATGAATTATTACCAACAAACCTTTTATAGATAAGGTCTCACCCATTTGAAGTATACTTGAGTACTAAAGGTTCTATCTCAACTTATAAGATAGCAAAAAAAAATGTAAAAAATAAATGTCGTTACAATAATTTTTTAAGAAATTCAAATTAAAAATCAAAACTAATATAGTTGTCATAATTTTTCTAATATATTAAAAAAATTGTGTCAATAAAATTAAAAAAAAATATACATACTCAGTTATTTTCTTATAAAATGTTAAAATCAAATGAATTGCAGTTTTAACTTGTATAAGAAATAAATTGCTGAGTTTCATTAAAACCACAAACTGCCAGGAGTATTAAATTTTTCTTCAAAGGAAATTGAAAACAGTTTTGAGTGAAATTGGCAGTCATGGAATTCAAAGGAATACAAATGAATGGAAAAAATCTATAACAGCGAAAAATAATTTAAACAAAATAATAAACAGAAACTTCAATCGCTTCTGTAGCTGAGGAAGGAAAAAACTAAACACGGATGACTGAGACTAAGTCTGAAAAATACCACCGATTTCTGCTGAGACCTATTCGTATTCGATACCAAATCGTATTCATGTACGTGAGAATTTCCAGTTAAAATATTTTGAAATAAAATAATCGGAAACATCAAAGCCCAACTTGCCAATGCAAGCGTTCACACAAAACAATAAAATAATCGTATGCGTTAAAGGAAAGAAGGAAGCCATAATACCCTGGGAGGCAATTAAAATAAAATGACATAAAATGGCAAAATTTTAGAATTGAAAATAAAATTTAAACAAGTAGAAATTTAAATAAATTTATTTTCTAGCACAAGGGAAATGAATTCATTTATTGAATAAATGAAGTGATTTCCACAACAAATGTGATGATACATTAAGATAAAGAAAATATTATTTAAGCAACCAATAACGAATGAATATATCATTGAATGAATATATCGCAATAAATTTTCTTAACACAAAAACATATTTTTTTTCAGTATCAAAAACGAAATAAGACGGTGGGTATGCGGGCTATTGTCTTCAAATGTTAAAAGCGCGACCGTTCAAGAAGTTAGCCTTAAGGAGCTTATAAAAAAGTTAAAATACCTTGAAACTGTATGTTTCTTTAAAAGAACTTTGTCTCTAATATCATACTATATATGCTCTGCAGAATGGCATATTTAAAGATATATATTGTCATCTGATGATAGTGCAAAAGAAGTGATATAATATAATGTAATGTTAATGTAATATTGTTTATTTTTAAATTGGTTTCACATTATTGTTCCATTTTCATGAGATTCTGCAATCATTATAGGATCACTTATAAGCTTTATACTTACATATAACGTACAATACGTAATTAATCCGTTCTAACATTCCTGCAATTTCTCCACGGGTCACAATATCGTAATAGTGTGAGAAGTTCTATTTTCCAAGCGAGGTTGCTCTATTCTATGATTCTCTATTCAGCTTATTAACAATCTTTAGTGTCTCGAAGTTATTTTTTTTTTCAAAAGCAACTTCATTCTTTCCTGAAGTATACTACAGAACAATAACACAAAATTTGTAATATTAACAAAGAAAAGAAATGGCACACCATCAAGAACAAATCGAAAGTAAAACTTATTTGAACCTAAATTATTTTGGCTAATCAAAAATTACTTAGGAATATAAGTTATTATTAAGGCAATAATAAAAAGTACCACCTCTAAAAGTCTTTACAGAGCTATTGTCTACTTTGCCCTATATGGAGTATGTATTTGTTATAACACTTTTTGAAAAGTTTTTGTATATATTTACTATATAACTACCTCATCCATTGATACACTCTGTCACTTGAACTCTTGCTGCATAAACCGATACACAAACTACTCCGGTTTTTTCAATATTACTGAAAATCCTTTTATGGTATATTCAACCCACTTTACAATTCTGGCTTTTTAGATTTCAATTTAAAAGCTTTTGACCATTGGTCTTTGGCTTTTCAAATCTTTGGCTATTTCTTTAATCGTCATTATTCTTTATATATGTGCAATAACATCGGAACCTGGTGACTTAGGTCTGGAGATCGGTGTTTAATTTCTGATTATTTAATTATCACCAGATAAATTAATTATCTGTGTCATTAGTATATTTTTGGTCTTTAGCCAAAATCTTTTCATATTTTCCTTAGAGGTAGTTCTCTCATCACTTTCATAAATTATTCTTTGTATATATACCATAATACCAATACTGGAGAAATTCAAATAACTGAATATTTTACTTCATCTTTTCACTAATCACTGAAATTGAACATCGGTCATGCTTCTTTTTTGGATCGCAGACTCAAAGTTTTTTATGTTTTATATCTAAGTGTTTTCAGTACGTAAAAACCTACTGTAAAATAATTGGATTTATGGGTAAGGTATTTAATAGTGATCTGAAGTTCTTGGTAAAAATTGTAACAGAATAACAATCATAGTTATAGATATGTAACTATAATTTGTGCAGGCATAAACTTGTAACTATGTATGCATTTTGTTGTTATCATATCGATATTGTTTTTGGTATATAACTATATTTCCTGTACACTACCGCAGGTGGTACAAATATCTAATGTAAAGCTGATTCGATTATGCTATATGTACACTTATTAATTTCAGAATAAATATGTTAATGTTTACAAGTCGTGATGTTTACACTTATTGGCACCTATAATAATAAGAGATACCAGGATTTTATGAACATATAAAAAGAAGAACTTAGAATCATCATAGGAATCCTAACAGGGCACTGTAAAGTAAAATACCACCTTACCTTAGACCCGATGGTCGCAATGCCACATCCCCTAACAATAATAATACAAGACGTGATAATATAACATTTTTAAAGGTAGTGACAGTGAACGATTTTTCATTATCTAAAAGATATATTGCAGTCTTGCTGATCGCTCTTATTATTAAATTCGGTTAGCAAATAATTTTGAAAATTTTAATCAACATTAATCGAAAAAATTAACTTGAGGAAGATATTTTGAACATTTTTCTAAAAAACAAAAAAAAATATTGATTAATTGCTATTGCAAAGTTCAATTTATATTGAAAGCTTTTCAGATTTAAGTCATATTAACTTATTAAGTAAAGCAATCAATCTTTATCTTCTAATTGATAAGCTTCAAGTTTCGGAAATTACTCAATTTCTACGTACTCGTATTAATGCAAAATAAATCCTTTTTTAATAAACATATCGAAAATGCACTACATTACATTATTGCTTTTAAAAATACTTTTCGCAAGAGGATATGCTCAAGCAATTTGAAAGATTTCTGAAAAGTGTTACGCTTAAAGGACAAATATAATGGTGAAAAAGCTAATATGAGTGTAAAGGGTTACGGCACACAAACTCGACATATCAACTACTCAATGTCATAAGGAATTTGTTGTGTGAGTCGGTGTGTCTTATGAGTACAGAGTTGTTAATACAAATATAAACACAGACGAAGTCGAAAAGTTACACAGCACACAAATATGGATATCAGCACACGTATTACAGATACACGGGAACACAAAGGATACGAGCTCATGTACTGGCTGCACAATATGAAGGTATGAAAATTACTTCAAGAAAATTTTAATGTTATTGGCACAAAGTCGTTAAACCGTAATGAGCAAAAGGTTCTACCCGCATTGCTACCTTAAGAACCTGAGGACTTTGATTTCTTTTTAATGGTATGCATGCTTGCACGTACATCGGGGTGTAGTGAGAAAGAAGTTTTCATAAGTGAACAAATGTTTTCAATCACCGGATTTCATATTATAACTAAAATGTGAATATTATCCAAAAAAAACTTAAATTTTAAAGATACAAATGTTAAATGCAATCAATTATGCATATTATATTTATATTAATTAGAAACAGAGTTACTGATAAATATTATTTTATTGAAAAAAATTGTTTTCTCTCTTCCTATCTATTGTACTTTGTAAAAAGTTTTCTTAGCTATTCACTGTTTTCTTTTTTTTTTCTTTATTACTTTCACTCAACTTTTCACCTAACAACAGACGAAATCATGTGAAAATTCCAAAGTATTTGTGGCAAATAAAAATTCAGAACATTTTAAAAAGTCAGTCGCCTCATCTACTTGCACTTATGTGGTCCTGTATTGTTGAGCATCTAAGCACTTGAGCTTCCACTTTAATTCCATCCCTCTTTCTACTTGACAATAAAACACAGCAAACATCTTAACACCGCAAGTCTTCTTCACTAAATAACTTGACAGATCGCAAGCACTCCAAACATTTATGACACAAACGTAGACTCTCAGTTGCACTGACAATCTGACAAAGTGCAGTACAGTGGGAGGAGGTGTGAGCATGTCATACTATATATCCTTATATGTGCTGGTCCATTAGAAATATTCGTGCACTTCGAATATGTGCATTTTGTTCCGGGTGCTCTAGTAATATATTATCATAGTTGCTGTGTCTCGTATATGAGACTTCACAGGAGTTTAAAATTATGTGTTCCGTGTTTGAAGAATTTTTATGCCTACAATTGTAGTTGACGATTTCATATGAAAGCAATTTGTCATTGTTTAATTAGACTAGTCTAGAATTGTTGGGATTTTCAAGTAAAGCAGACAGAATAAATTTTTGATTTGTTGTGAATTTTTACTATATTTTGACTTTATGTATTTGAATTTGAATTCAAGACATTTATTATTAATAAACCCTTTTCATTGAAATTGAACAACTTACATTGTGACCGAAAAGTTTTCGGAAATTCTCATTTAAAATTCGCGCGCTGTATATTTTTCGATATTTTAAGTTTATGTAGTTTGGCAGCACTGTCCTTAATTAATATGCCAAAAATGAGCGAGATCTGTCAGACAGTTCGTTTACGGCAGCTGTTTAAACCAGTTCACCTCAGTAGTGCGTTGCGAAAAAAACAATGGAAAAAATATTTGAACAAAGAGTTGCATCAAATTTTGTGTTTCGAACGAAATTTCGTGTGCAGAATCGTTGCGAATGCTACAAAAGGCTTATGGGGAATCAGTTTTATCGAAAACTCAAGTTTATGAGTGGTACAAAGCCTTTCAGGACGGTCGTACGACCGTCGAAGACATGCCGCGTTCTGGACGACCTTCGACCTCTACCACCGACGAAAA